GCCTCTCAAAGGATAAATTCCCAAAGGTCAGGATGCACTTTTCAACATCTCCCACCCTCTCAGCATGCTCATCCTGGTGCCCAAATCTTAGCCAAAGCCTCTGGAAGTGCCCACAGCCCCATCAGCTCCTTCTCAGCACCCCAAGTGCCTCCTTCTCCCTGCAATTGCCATAAAGCTCTGTCACCTTCAGACACCACACATAGAAACGGAGGAAATGGGACACAGAGGTTGGCTCTGCCAGGTACTTGAACCACTGCTGGTCATCAAAACCTGCCAGGGGATGCCCAGCTGGCCAAAGCTGGGCGGGATTCCAATGGCCACACACCTCACGCTTTCCATTCACTGAGCCCATGCCTTCCTGATGCATGGGGGACTCCAAGGACAACCTGTGGCCAAAAGGACTCTGCCACAGTGGCAGCAGAACATTCCTGGCAGCATCAGTCATGATACAAGAGCAGTTTGCTGAACGTCAGATCCAGGAGAGCTGGATACGACTCTGCGCGCCTCCCTCGGGTAGCAGATTTCAGCAGCAAATCCAATTTTGTTTGACATTAATCTCAACTTTTCAGCCCGCCACAGATTATCCTTTTGGTGATGGCTCACCATGCAGGAAGAGCAGGGATGGAAAAGCTTTTTCTTGGTTGTCTTTCCAAAGGACCCCTCAGAGGGAGCATAGACACCCAGATAAGCGCCAGAGCCGGCCGTGGGTCACTCACAGGGGGCAGGTTTCTGTTGCATTTCTGGCACCCATGTCACTGATGGCTCCCAGTAACCAGGTCACATTAAATCCAACTGGAAATTCTCAAATTGGTTCTTCAGCAGAAATCCCAGGCCAGGGGGCTGGGAATATCATGCTCAGTGATTCCACAGCAGCTCACAAATGTACGTGTCCCTGGATGAGCACCTTCCACCCCTTGGGAGGAAAATTCCCAGATGAGTTCACTTCATCACTGTGTTTTGCTTTTTCAGGAATTCTCTTGGTTTGATATGCTTCTCCAGGTCTGTGCTTCTGGCAGCTCCCTGTGAGAAGCTGTGCTGACAGGGCTGGGAGAAGGAAGCAAAAAGCAAGGATCCTCTAGCAAAATCCCTAATCCTAGGAAGGAATTTAATCAGGAATTTAAGAACAGGTGTGATGCCAGCAGGGCTGCAAAGGGACAGGGACTGAGGAACCCCAGCTCATCTGATGGAATCATCTCAGAATTTCCTACTCAAGGTCACCTGGGAGTGAAAGATGCAGCAAATTTTCAGAAATATGTAGCCAGAGTCTAATGGATTATCCAAGGGCTATGGATGCAGTTCTGCCATGCCCAGCTGATCTGCATTGAGGCCACAAAAAACACGTGCCCCTTGCTTCCTTCTGTGTAATTAGGAGCTAATTCCATATCAGACATTGCTCTTTCCTTCTGCCTGTTTTGTTCCCAGAACTCATCCCCTCCCTCCCCAGGCGTGCGAGAGCCATGGCCCCAGGAAGCAGCAGAACATCTCAACATGGAATGGAAATCATGAAAGAGGAGGAGGAGCCTGTGGGACAGCTCCAGAGGAGCCATGGCTCAGGACTGTGTGGGAATGGCTGTGTCACCACCCAGGGCCATGGGGGCTGCTCCCCCTGAGGATGAGTGTGCAGGAGCCCTGCAATGCCCCTACACATGCCCATGCTTTGGCCTTGCGCCCCCAAGCCCTGTCACTGGCTGGGAGCACCCCTGAACAGCTCTCACCTGCATGTGGCTGCAGACACTCCCACCAGGTACTCTTGATCCCATTATCCTGCTCTTCCACTGCTCCTCTTTGTCTGCTCTTCTCCCACTTGGAATCCTTCTGGCCATTTGGGATGTCTTGTGTATATGACTTGGCTATTGGACTTGTCCTCAGGGTGCATGTGGCACTTGGTGCCACGGGGCCGGCCACTCAGATGGCAGAAGCTGGTGAAGACAGCATTCCAAGCAAGACACTTTTCCAAAGCAACATTCCCAAATGTTTCCTTCAGGGTTCCTAAAGCCTAGCTGAAACAAGATCTGTCACCATCACCTGCCCTGCCTGGACAGCAAAGACTCAAATATTCCACTGACAGCAGCTGTCAAGAGCAGACTGGAGAAAAGTCAGTCAATCCCTGCCTCTCCTGTTGCCAGCTGTGCTATTTCCATGTAAAACCCAACAGATCACTCATCCCACAACCCTGAGCACTCACATCTGCTCCCAAGCACTCCTAACTCCTGCAACCACCAGGTCCAGGCAGGAAGTTCATGCAGGAATGGGAAGAACAGTCCAGCACTGGTTTGTTTTCTAAATCAATACGATTTTTCAAATTTATTTTTTAAGAATTACTTCTAATATATCTTTCTCACAGAAGGAGGGAATAGGGAATGTTCTCATTCCATCTGTAAACAATGAAATACAGATCTGGGAAACCAGGGAAGAGACACAAAAAAGTGCATTTTACAAAATTATCAACTAAAATATATTTTACATGTATTACGCTTCAATTTAAATTCTACTGACTGCATTTTTCAGTTTCAAAAAATATTTCCATATCTAATAGATTAAAAAAGCAGGAAATCTTTTCATTAGGGATAAGACATTTCAGTTCATTTACATGCTGTTTGCACAACAGCATCAGCAACCACGTGAACCTCAATGTTCATGGCCTGAAGCAGATTCAACATGGGAAGAGTCAGGTTTGTCCTCTCCAGAGCTGGACCGGAGTCTGTTATAGACCCAGAGCAAGGATAACTTCCCTGCTACCTGGAGAGGAGCCAGGACAAGGTGGGAGCAGGGGGAGATGGGGCAGAAGGAGGAATTTTGGTGAGTTACTGTGGTTCCAAGGCTGGGTCTCACACCTGGGACCAGCTGCAGCAGTGCTCAGGCTCACCCGGCTGGTGGCTCTTGCAGCATTCTGTGTCCAAAGCACTGCCAGGGAGAAATGGCCACAGCAGCTCTCCTGCTTCAGGTTCAGGGACAAAGTCCCCATGAAGCCAAACGTGTGGATTTAGGGCTTCCCATCACCTTCCACTCACTGTGGGGTGCAGCTGCTGCACTCTCCCCATGACTGGGTAGCTGCCATTCCCTCCTTGTCACGGGCAGGAGCAGCTCCACTCCTCCAGTGTCCTCCCTCCCTGCTACAGGGGAAAACCACTTCATATCCTTCCCCCAAAAGCATCAGAGACCACCATCTCCAATGCCTCCTTGCACCCCTTCATCCGAGTGTCCCCAGAGTGCCACCACTTCCCAACCTAACACAGCCCCACCATGTCATTCCAAGAGACCCCCAGTGCCAAGCGAATTGTTCAGGAGAGATCTGGGCAATCCCTTTGACACCAACAGTATCTTGAGGTATAAGTGAGAGAAGATGCTTCACCTGACAATTCTTGCTTGCACACCTTCTTGGAGCTGGGTGTTCTCCCTGGGCTATGCAGGTGGGAATAAACAGGAATTTTTCCAGCAGGAATCCTCCACCAGCTGCAGGGAGATGCCTGCCCGCTGCAGCAGGTGCCAGACCTTGTCATCCCTTCAAGCCATCGCCTCCGGACACGTTCCCCTCTTTGGTATGTAGAGCAAATCTCTGGAGAACTCCTGCATGCCTGAACTATTCCATGTAAGGAACTGGATGCCATGGGCTTTCTCTCCAGGCCAGGTGTGTGGCCGCTGGAGCAAGGTGACAAGCCCTGCGTCCCCAGGGGGTACAGGGAATGCTGCTTGCACTGATAGGACATTAAAGCAGAATGGACACTTCCACCATGGAACACAAGTTCAGAAGCCCCAAAAGACTGGGAAAAGGCAGATCCCTCATTTCAGTGAGCAGCTCCAGCAGGAACATGGGTGGCACGGGGTCAGTTCTGCTGTAGTTAGTGCAATCTCGGGCTGGGCTCCCAGCCTGGCGCAGTGACTGCTCAGGATGTGACACTGTCCTTTGGTTTGCTTTGGGATTAACTCCAAGTTACCATTAAGATAAGCTAAGGTCTGTCTGGGATCTAAGGTCTGTCTGGGATCTGTACAGGTAAGGCAAGAGGCAGGACCTGCGGGGCTTGCACGGTCCATGCGAACCTTTCCCGATGCTCAGGTCCTTTCAGGAGCCACAAAGCCACTTTGGTGAGCTTGTTCAGACACCGGGATAAGTTTGGAGTGGGGGAGGTTGCTGATGGCTTCAACAGCACTCCCCAGGAGCAGGACAGTCACACGGGGAAAGAATTTTAAAAAGCCAAAAACACGCAAGAAAATGGTTTGCCACTTCTCCCTCTGGCTTCTTCCCACTGCAGACACATGGGGATAAGCAGGGTCTGTAAACGACATTACAGGAAACAAATTGGGAAGAAAGAGAAAATCCAAAGCCCCCTGAGCCATCAGGGAAAAGCAACACTCAGAAGAGAAGAGGAAACATGGTCGACCCCAGTAGAGCCCACTTTGTGAGCTCCAAGTGATGAGTGCCGGGCCTCGGGAATGGGGCGTAGAATCCTGTGGGCTCTGTCAGGACACCTGGGACAGGACCAGCTTTAACCCTACACTGTGCTGTGACACCTGCCACCTTGCCAGCTCCCTCTGCTCCACCATGCAGCAGTTTCCAAGCCCCAGTCTAGGTGGTGAATCTAGGTGGTGAATCACAGAGCAGCGAGGTGAGGGGAGGGAAAAGATGAAGGAGAACAGGAGTCACCTCTTTCCCTGGTGGATCAACTCCTATCCAAGCATGACACAAGGCCACTCTGCACCTAGGCAGCTCCCAAAGCTGTATTTTGAAGCTCTCACCATGGGAATCCTCAGAGCCTGTCCTGTGGAACCAAGGAGACTCTCCTGTGCTCTGCTAAGAACTGGGCTCAGTTCAGGGCCTGAAAACCCCCACTGTCCCAGCCAGACTCAACAAACACTGCACTGACACATCCCTCCTGCACCTTCCCACCGTTCCCCCACCCACGGCTCTGCACTGCTTCCTGGCTTTTATCCCCTGCAAACCTTCCCGATAGATGCAGCTCTACATACATATATAGATATAGATTTACTTCTGCAAATCCCTATATCTATATACATATATTTATTTTTTACGTATATATTTTCATTTATGCTTTTAATGAAGTGCTGTGCTTTCAACTGCTGCCTCCCCCTCCACGGGCTCCGCTCCTCGCACGCTCCCGAGTCCCAGGATGGAGCACTGGGTGCTCCCAGCTGCAGCAGCATGAGGTGGGGGAGAGTGCACGGGTGTCCCGGGCCACGGGCGCTGCGGTGCCGCCCGCTCCCGCCGCGCTCCGGCCCACGGGCTGTGCTACTGCGGGTTCTTCAGGATGCGCCCGTGCCTGAAGTCGTAGACGTGACGACAGAGGAAAACCAGATCGGGGTCCGTGTCCTCGGGCACCTTGCGGTGCAGAGGGGTGGAATACTCCTCTGAGGGAGGAACCATGATGGTTTTCCTGCCCGGGATCCCTTCGACTCGACGCTTTGCCAAGGCACAAAATCTGCGGGGCAATCACATCGGAAGAGTTACCAGCGGATCTTGGAATGCTTTGGGCTGGAAGGGACGTTAAGGCTCATCCAGTCCCACCACTTGCCATGGGCAGGAACCTTTCACTAGGTTCCACCTTCTACTAGCCCAGGTTGCTCTAAGCCCCATCCAACTTGGCTTTGGACCCTGCCAGGGATGGGCCAGCCAGAGCTCCTCTGAGCCAGGGCCTCACCACCCTCATAGGGAAGAATTTATTCCTAATATCCCATCTCTCCCTGCCCTTTGGCAGTGTGAAGCCATTCCCCCTTGTCCTGGCACTCCAGGCCTTTGTAAACAGTCTTTCTCCATTTTTCCTGTAGGCTCCCTTGAGGTACTGGAAGAGGAAATTAGGTCACTCCAAAGCCTTCACTTTTTCAGGAAGAACAATCCCTATTCTCTCAGCCTTTCCTCATAGGAGAGGTGCCCCATCCCTCTGATCAAACTGATGGCCTCCTCTGGACTCGCTCCAACAGGTCCGTGTCCTTCCTGTGCTGGGGACCATGAACTCATTCCCTCTCCTGCTGCCTGTGGCTCCTGCTGGGAGCCACAACTGCAGCTGCTGGAGGATAAGGGGAAGGGAAGGAATGTGGACAAAGCTTTGTTCAAAGAGAACTCCTGCAGGAAGCAACACAAGTTTGTATTTCCATACTGGTGGATATCATACAGCACCAAAGATGATAGCTATTTTTTTTAGTTTTTAAACCTTGTTTTAAATAGTTTTTAAACCTTATTTTTACTGCTTTGGCCTCATTTTTGTTAATTAGCCCCTAATAAATGCTTATGAACCAATGTTTAGGAAAACAAATAATTCAGGATGCCTTCAGGGAACATCTCTCAAAGGTGACCTGACCCACATGAGTATGAAAGAATTCCTGCCAGCAGCTGTTCCAGAAAACTGGGGTGTTAGAATGGAAAGGAACTGCGTTGATCCAAAGCTTGGGGATGGGGGATTTTGTTTGGTTGGCTTTGGTTTGTTGTTCTTGGGGTAAGGTTGGGTTTTATTTGTTTGGGGATTTTCAATGTTCTCAAAAGAAATATCAAAATTCAGCTTCTAAAGAGTTTGTACACCAGTTTGTTTTTAGAAATTCCAAGAGCAGAGCCCTAGGGAAGGAGCAGGCTGAGGAGGAGGAGGCCTCAGGCATCCCCTCCATGGCAGGGCTGCAAAGACCACAAGATGCACCCAGCAGAACTGAAGAGATTTACAGCACTGGTTTGCATTATGGGTTTGTGCCCATTCAATCCCTATTTTCCTTCAGCCCTATGTATCCATCACAGGATGGCAGGCTGGAATATGGGAAGTTCTTACTGACAAAGCTGCAATTCAATCAGCAAGAGCTCAACTATAACAGCCTGAGTCACTGCTCCAAGGGGTGCTGCTGCCAAAATCCCAGGACGTGATGTCCAGCATGAACACTGGCACTTGTATCAGCAGGTTTTTGGGTAGTCTGGCACCTGTGTCCCACAAGGGATGGATATATAGGATCTCTTCCTAGCTCAATTAGTTTTTAGCTCCAAGTTCCATGTTTTCCTGTACAACTGTTCCTGTCTTCCTTGAAACCACGTGCAGTGATCATACACACATCAGTATTTGGGAGTCCCTTGAGGGTTCCCAGGAGTCTGGGAAAAGGTTTGGAGCACCAAGAGTAGCTGAGGAAGCTGGAGGGGCTCAGCCTGGAGAAGAGGAGGCTTGGGGGGACCTTCTGGCTCTCCATAACTCCCTGACAGGAGGGTGCAGCCAGAGGCTGTCAGGCTCTGCTCCTAGGGAACAAGGGACAGGTCGAGAGGAAGCAGCCCCAAGTTGCACCAGGGGAGGTTTAGGTTGGATATTGGGAAAATTCCTTCAGGGAAAGGGTGGCCAGGCCTTGGAACAGGCTATGGTGGAGTCACCATCCCTGGAGGGATTTAAAAGCTGTGTGGATGTGGCACTTGGGGACACGGGTCAGTGTGGAATGGAGCATAGAATCCTGTGGGCTCAGTCAGGACACCTGGGACAGGACCAGCTCTAACCCTACACTGTGGTGTGACACCTGCACCTTGCCAGCTCCCCTTGGCAGCTCCAGGGGAACAGCAGGACTTGATCTTAAGGGTCTTTTCCAATCCAAAAGATTCCATGATCCTACACAATCCAGACATGCAATGGGTCTGGAGCAGGAGAAGCCCTCTGCCTGCAGCAGAGCAAGTGTCACTACCCCAGCTCCAGCCACACCACAGCCGCAGGCTGGGACAGCTGGGCTGGCTGGAAATGGGCAGGGTGAGAGAGGCTGGAGGCAGGGGGAGGTTTGGGAAGTGCAGCAGGTTCAGAGCTCCACCTACCTGCAGTACTCTGCGAAGGTCAGCACGTAGCACTTCTCCTCGATGCAGGCGACGCTGTTCTCATCCTGGTGCCGCGACGCAAAGATCTCATTCTGCGTGAGGAGGGGAGGGGACAGGTCACCCAGCTGGCCCGGAGCCCCGGGGGGCACGGCCAGCTCCACCCTCACCCACCCAGAGAGGGAAGGGCCAGCTCTGCACCTTCGCCCATCACCTGAATGTGGAGTCACCAAAGCATGCCCAGAATGAATACTCTTCAGAGCCAGTGCCCCACACAACCCAGGCACCTGCCGTGTGCTCAGTGCACCACATTTTTATCCAGCAACAGTGACCAAAGGACTGACTCTCCCACATCTCACCCTGCCCAGCACATTTTGTGAGACCAGGTGCTCCAATATCCCACGAATTTCCAATGTCACAAAGCTCTTCAGCAGCATGGCCACGGCTGGCTGTACCCCTTCATCTTCATCTCCCCCTTCTGCCCGGATTCTCTAATCCATCTTTATATCAAAACTTTGAGAAACCCTTCTTGTCCAATCATTTCCTCCTCCCAATTCAATTAAAAAGGCTGGTTTAGTGAGAGAAGTAGCAACAGCATTTTTCAGAATCATGGAATTGCATCCTGGAATGGTTTGGGTTGGTAGGGACCTTAAGGATTATCTCATTCCACCGCCTGCCATGGGCAGGGACACCTTCCACTAGACCAGGTTGCTTCAGCCCCATCCAACCTGGCCATGAACACATCCAAGGAGGAGCAGCCACAACCTCTACTGGCAAACTTCTCTTCAATTTTTCCCAGAGTAATTTAGGGAATTTGGCTCTGCAGCAGGCAGGATTGGTTATACCCAGGGTAACCCAGACAGAGCCACTGAGAAGAATTACAGGTATGGTTAGATCAGCAGAGATGATCTCTGGGAACATGGATGCCCTGCAGAAGTCTGGAAGCATTCCCTGAAGGCTCCATTTCTGTTTTGCTGGAAGGGAAAACTCAAAAAAGGGTGAACATCTGGGGACAGGGTTGATCAGGGACACTTGGAATGCCACACCTGCCTTCTGCACCTTGGGGTTCTGGTTTACTCCTTGAGTCAAAACTACCTGAGTCACCCTGGCAAGCCTGGCCCAGCCCTCAGCCCAAGCTCTCTCTTGTTTGAAGAATTGTGTAATTTAAATGGGTTTGCAAAAACCTGGCTTAATTCCTCTTGGCATTCTCCCTGGACTGAAATGTGACTGGATACACACAGCTTTCATTTATAAAGTGCCACATTTTTGTTTAGAAACTCACCTGTGCCCTGCAAGTGAGGCAGTTACAATTCCCTGGCTGCTCCCAAGTTCTGCTCTCAAACCCTCCCTCCCTTTTTATTAAAAAAAGTAATAGAAATTAAGAAAACACCAAGCTTTTAGAATTGGGTTGAACACAACAGTGAATTCTTCATTCCCAGTTAAAACCAGCTTGTTCTGTCACCCAACACAAGCCCATGCAAAGCACAGCAAGGCGTGAAGTCACAGTGATTCACACATTTTTTTCTTTAAAAAGCAACTCCATTATCCTGACACAGCATCCTCAAGCCAGACTTTAGTTCGCATCATAAATCTATGCAGGGCAAGGATGATGCATCCACGTTTCTGTACAAAACTAACATGTTTTTGGAGTTTAAGAAACAGATTAAGGGATTTATTAAAAGGCAGCACATGACACAGGCACTTCAGTTTCCTGCAAAATGGCAGCAGGAGCTTTTGCATCAGGCTCTGCAGCCCTGTAGGAATTAGACTATGCTTTTGGAAAGATGTCTGATCTTGATTCGGTATAAACTTACTCTTTCTTATTCCTAAGGTAACAGTCTAAATTACTTTTTACTTAATATGTGGAATTTCCTCAGATTAAAGGGAGAAACATCAACACTCAGCAGTTTCTGTTAGAGCTTCCATGTAAGGAGCTCAGCAGCTTTTTCGAGAGCCCAGATTTTCTCCACAGGACAATAAATCTGGGGGAAAAGCCCAACTATAGGACACCACCACTCAACACATCTGGCAACAGCTGCATCACAGCTAAGAGTGCTCTGCTGTACTCAGCTTGAGGCCACCCAGGAATGCAGGGAGATGTTGGGGCAGTCTCCTCCTCCTCCTGCAGGAGCACAGAGAGCCCGGGATGCCCTGCCCCGATCCGGACTCACCTGGTGCATGCTGGGGTTGCGGCCTCCCTGAGTGTGCTCTGGTCTGTAATACCACAGGAGGCTCATCATCAGCTCCCCTGCAACAGCAGGATTAAAACAAGTCAAGCCTCAGCTTTCTCCGAGTGTTTTCCTACTCATTCCCGGCTTTCTCCTGCTGCTCCATCCCCTTCATTCCCACAGCACTCACGGAGAGGCAGCTGTGGCTGATAAATATTTCATGCTGAACTAGGTGTCCCTTTGTTACAGCAAGAAGCTGCATGGAGTCAGTCATGTTGCTTTTCCACTACACCTCTGCCTCCTTCTACTCAGGTTACAACCAAAGAAGACAGCCACAAAAAACTCCCCAGAATTTCAAAAATCAAATGTTTTCACCTGCAAAAAAAAAAATCCCTTCGGCACACAAGCTGGAAAAGCTGCTCATCCAAAGTTGGGAACTTGCAGCATTGATTCCCAGTTCAGGGCAGAATTGCTGCTGCACTGACACAACCACAATGGGCCCCACCACATCTCGATTTATGCCTTTTACAGAGAATTTTTTGGATTTCTTTTGCCCCCTTTTAAGCACAACCTCTACAGCATTTGGTTCAGCATCCTTGGCTCAGAGATCGCCACTCAGACACCAGATCTCTCCACAAGTCCCCACAATTCCCACCCCCAGCTCTACTGGGGTCCATCAGAGCTGCTGCAGAAGAGCCCTGCTCCCAACAGCTCCCACACCAGATGTTGGATTGGAGCAAACAGCAGCTCCCCCGATGTTTGAGCAATGAAATAATACGGGAGAGGGCTGCTAAGACGGGCACTTGGCAAATATTCTGTGCTTTCATATCCAGGAAGATTTCCATTTATCAGCCCCAGACGAGTGATTAAGGAGCATTTCAATTCCTGGAACAATCCAAATGGAAGCCGTGGCGCTCATCTCTCCATCACACTGGTACCCTAACCAGCCTGCAGCTCTCCCTAGATCCATTCCTTCTCTTCTTCCAGCTCGCTCTGTCGAGCACACACACACACACACTCTCCTGGCACTGTACCTGTTTTAGGGTCCTCCCAGAGTGCAGAGATCTTGGCGACGTAGGGCATGGATTTCTTGCGGGGCCCCGATTTGAGGAGCACGGTGTCCCGCACCCGGATGATCTCCCCGTCCCTCTCCACGGCCTGGTAGCTCTTGCGCACGGCCGGCTCCGGCTCGTTCTGCACACACAGCAACCAAAACAACCCCGGTCAACAGGCAAAGGGCGACTTCATGGTTCTCCTCCACAGTGCAGGCACTGAGGAGCAGCTCACCACGGGGACAGCACATCTCACAAAAGCACTAATTGCTGAAATTAATACTCTTATTTCAAATTAAAACACACTTGCTCCTTCCATTTTCTGCACGCAAAATCTTCAGGAAAATCACCTTTCTACCTGCCTACCTGGAGGCCCGATTTTCCTTACCATTCAAAGGCACCAAAAACTAGGTGTGTTTTGAATGCTGTTTCTCTGATACAAACATGGTAAAAAAACAATAAAACATGAAATATTTGACAAAAGCAGGGCAGGGAGTGGCAGGGAGGCCGTGGCACAAAGCCTTCCTTAGCAGGACTGCCAATGATTCCTTTGTACCCTCTGACAGTAGGAAATAATCACTTTTGGGACTATGAAGTGGGTTTTTTAGTTTGCTTTTGCTCCGAGTTTCATTTCAGAACGCCTGAGCAGGATGGTTTAACCTCCTGCCAGATCTCCCAGGCAGGATTGGAAGCATCTTAAGGAGATTAACGCCTCGCTGCTCCTTTGGGGTGTGACAGCCTGAGGGATGGATGCACAAGGCCAGTCTCTAGCCTTGACAGGCTTCATTTTGGCACAGTCCTTGACACCTGGACACAGTCCCAAAGGCTAAAGCTCCAAAACCTGTCCTGTCTGCTGCTCTCAGCAGCCTGAGGTTGTGCCATCACACCAAGCAGCAGCACAGATCCTGCCTGGACCATGGCCCTCCCTCCTCCTGACAACTACTGCACATCAGTGCCTTGTCCCACCTTCCCAGACACCACGTGGGGCCCATTTTGAGCTCTTATGCTTTAATAAGATGAAGGATATTGCCTTCTCTCGCAATTGAAGTGGACTTGACTGGACCTAATTGAATTCTCTGGCAGGAAATCTCCCATCTTTACAGGAACCACTCTCTGCCCCGAATGCAACAAATGGGAAAGTACAGACAGGAAATCCCTGGAGAAGCAACTAGCCATGCCACCATGCAAGTTACAAGAAAGGGGATTTTGGGTGCTAGAAAAATTCCACCTGGGAACCCGTATACTGTCTCAGTCCTCTGTGCACTGGGAAATCTTTGTGGGGCTACAGACACCATAAGCGAGAGCCACCTTATGAGAGCTGCCTCTAGACATGCCCCTTGTAATTGAGGCTACAACAACCCTCAGCTTCTCAGACAGGTTTGCCCAACCCAGGAGAAAGCAGCTGGAGGATGATCCCAGTAGGATGGACTCCCACGTGCCTCAGGTGCCACCCATGTACGTGCCAGAGCTGGGAGGATCTGTCACCTTTGAGCTGAGGCCAGCACAGAAGCAGCAAGTTCTCTTCCCCTCCCAAACCACACCGTGCAAGGTAACACCAGGACACACAGGGAACAGAGCCAGCAGTGCCTCTGTTCCCATCAGAGTTTCACCGTGAGGTTCTAGGCAGCACCCAGTGACCATCCCCAGCTGGAAGTGAGCCCCAGCACTCCCAAGCCTTCACGCCTGGAGGTTCAGAGGCAGCTTTCCCTGCCCAGCCCCAGCACTCAGACACCTACCACGACATAGACGGCCTTCTCGCAGGCCGTGCCCACGGGGATCCAGCCGTTGGTGGCTCTGCGCCGGCTGATCCGCTGCTGCTTGGGGTGGGAATGGCCCCCGGCCGCTTTGCTGTTGGAGGCGTGCAGGCAGCCTGGAGTATTCCGCAGCCCGGACTTGGAGCCGCTGGGAGGCTTGGAGCTCTGAGGACATTCTCGGGCCATGGTCTGAGGGTCAGAGTTGGGGGTCTGCAGGTGAGGGACGGGCTCTGCAGCTGGTGGCACGCTGGGCACAGGACATCCTGAGAGCGGGTGGGCAGGCGACGCGGGGTGTCCTGCCACTGGGATTGTGAGGTTCAGCTGGTCCAGAGACTTGCAGCCTTCTAAGGGAAGGGAAGAAATGAGTCACGGATCTCATCGGGAACAGAAAGCAACTACACAGCTGGGACTGTCCCACACCACGGCCGCTTTTGCCCAAAATCCCCTTTATTGCATTATAGCTATAAAGACTCTTCAGGCTGTAATTTCATTTTGCACTGTCACTGGATTGTAAAAGCAAAGCCATTTCTGAGCTTGCGTGTTCCAGTGCTCCGCAGATGACACTGCACCACAACAAACCCATCTGAATCCCAAGTAATGCCAGCCAGGAATACACACAAGGCTGGCCAGTGTCCAAAGCAGTTCCAGCCTGTCAATATGTATAAAAGAAATAAAAGGCTTATCGAAACAATGAGAAGGATTAAATCACGCTGCCAAAAGCAGCCAGCTTCTTTCAAAAAGCCAAATTCTACTAATCAGGGAAAATTGAGATGATTCTCCAAATTAAGTCCAGAGAGATTAAACAAGGTGGAACACAACCACAAGATGCTGCATCCTCAGCAAAACTGTGTCCCTGCAACAGACATGGGAACCTCAGCAGGTTGGAATTTGGCTGACACTGCCTCTCAGAGCATCCCAGAAATACATTGTTCCGCTCAGGAGTCACAAACAAGTCTCAACTCAGGCCAATGGAAGAACCAGTTGTAATTACGCCCTATCAGCGGGAAAAGAGCTCCTGGACCAATATATGATGCACCCCTGTTCCCTAAACGGGAGACTTGTTTTTGGGATGACCAAGGCACACAGGCTCCAGGAGATGTCTCACACCAGAGCTTACAAATCTGAAGGGAAAAATCCACCCAAAACCACACAGCTCCAGCCAAAGAACTGCTGGGACTCCTGCCTTCCCACCTTACTCTCCCTAAGGGCTGAAGCCAAGACACTGTGGAGCTGCGAGTCCAAGGGATGCCACAGATCATCCTCATCAATCAATCAATCAATCGAATCAACCCCAAGTACCAAATGCCACAGGAATCCCCAAGACTGCCCAGAATCAGGATGCAGGCACTGGCAGGCACAAGACACATGGAGCAAGGAATCACCTCTCAGGTATTTTGCTTAGAAAAGCAGCCTTTAAGCTTTAGCTAGAGCAGCATAAAACTTCACAAAAATCTCTACTAAACGTCAGAGCCCTGGTGCAGATCTGCTCTTGCTGGCACCCCCGGGACTCCTTCCTTGGTCACGCATGCTTCCAGCCTCTCCAAAGGCACTGGCACTAAAGCAGCCCTCACAGCCTGTCCCAGCTCCTTTACACCACTCTGCTCAATCATCACCCAAGCTCACAACCCAGTCCCTGGATTTGTACCACACAGATACAGGTATTTCCCTACAAACACCTGGAAGACACGAAAGCAGACAGATGTAACACACAGCATTCAGCATGTCAAGCTAGATCCCTCTCTGACGGGAGCCTGCTGCTTGCAGCCAAAGTGCTCCTTCAGTTCACTAAAATGCCCCACTCTAGGGAAGGAAAATATTTTAGAGGTGCATAATTATATAAAAATCAATCCTTAAACCTAAGGCCCCATCAATATTCTCCGAGACCTCCTTATACTCTTCAATCCACAAACCAAAATCTCAATGATTCCAGTGTTATAGGTTTTTAAATCCAAGTTGCTCCCATCATGGAAATCACAGCAAGGGAGATCTCAGTAGTGGGGTGACACACTAGCAAATACTCACTCCTGGAACTGCTGCTGCCCTTGCCGGCACCAGGAGAAATTACTGAATCCACAGGAAGGGCTGAGCTCTGGAAAATACTCTGTCTGCACTGCCTGCATGCTTCTGGCTGCACAAAATCAGAGGCACTAGCATGCAAAAGCTGAGGAACAAAGTAGACTGGTATGACCTCGGGGCACTACACAGAAACTGTCAGGCAAGAACACACTGCTGAGCTGGTTGTCTTGTGAGCATTCCCCTTTCAAGAGCTCTGAAGCCACCAGCAACCCTGTCTGGCTGCTGCTGTAGGAAGCGGCACCATGACAGCGGGGATATTTCGGGAAAACAGAAATTACACTTCAACCAAATGCTCCTGAGCTTCAGCAGCTTCCTACAACGGAAGATGACAAAGCCTCGCTCCAACCAAAACTCCATCCACCTACCTGAAAATCTGTTCTCAGTGGGTAAGTCATGCCAGCTCCTGGCTGGAACATGTGGTTAGTGGAAAGATCCCACGCTGGCGCTCCCAGCAGCTGGAGAGCAGCCTCCTCTACAGACCGACTGTTTGCAGCACTGTCCAGCCTGGTGTTACGCGCAGTACTGGTGTCTGATAACCCCCACACAGCACTCCACTTTTAAATATTTAAAAAGGTATTTTTCAATGGCAGAGGCAAAGCTCCAAGATAAAGCAGGAAGTCTGCAAAGCAGGCGGGGACAGAGAAGAGCCAGGCACATAACAATGTTTCTATACCCCCTCATCCCTCCTCATTCCAGTGCTTCATTGTCAGACACTGAGAGCAAAGACGGCTCAAGAATTCTCAAACTAACAGCGTGCCTGGCACTCAGACCACCACAGTGAAACTCCCTACGCAGTCCTGCCAGCTCTGATCGATCCGTGGAATCCCAAAAGTCTGCATCCCCCAGCTGGCACCACTAGAGTTTTACAGCAGAGGCAATGCCTGCTTCTCCACAAGCTCTCTGAGGACTCCTGAGCCGCCAGAGTGAGGTTTTGGGATGGGAGGAGTAACTCATCCTGGTGTGCTCCCGACGCTCCGCTCAGAGTGGCACAGCGGGATGGCGTGCGGGAACTGAACCCGGCTCGTTTTACAGAGATCAAAGCTCAGCCTTAGCTCCAGCGTGACAAACCGTGAGTCAACTTCTCGCTGCCAAAATCCTTTCACCGATTCTCTGCTTTCCACACCAACAAGACCTTTCAGTGGGAAAAACCCTCCGGGTAAAAAAACGGGGGAAGGGGAGGTGGAAGGCGTATCCCTTCCAAGCCGCAGCTCCGCTGTGGAGCTGAGAACTGCTCGCAGAGGGAACCAGCCTCCAGGCAAGCAGGCACCGCGCCGAGCCACCCTCTTCTCCCAGGAACGCCGGCCGGGATTTGCGTGCACTTTGCACCTTACCTGCTGCAAAAGGCATTTTGTAGGGGTAGCTGCTCCGTCCCGCATGCACGCTGCCGATCCTGCCCTCCGGCACATGCACCACGCCGCAGACGCTGTAGCTGCTCACGGCTGCTCCCTCCCCGCAGCAGTACGGAGAGCTGCACCAGTGCAGGGGCTGGAAATGAGCACCTGATGGCAAGGAACCGGAAGATACAAGGAGCCCCTCGCAGGTCGCAGCCTGCGACAGCTCGTCCTTGGGATAAACGGAGCAGGGGGAATAGCCACTGTATCCACTTTGGCCATAATAAACATAAAACCCGTTCAACGGAGTCAGATCTGAGGATTCATAGAGACATCCACAATCCGCGTGATTCCCGGGCACGGGCAAGGGAGGGAACTGCTGCACGGGAAAGGAAGGCTGATGAAATTCCTGTTTGGGGGTTGGGGATTTCTCTCCAGGTCTTCCATACTCCGGCTTCATGGAAGCTTGTCCTCCCATGAGCAAAGGCAGTCTGTGGTAGAAGCCCTCCGTGTTGGCGTAGGAGCCAGGCAGCGACTCGTAGGGGACGGGCTCTGCTGTCCTGTAGAGCCTGGAAGAGTCCCGCTGCTCCCCTTTCCCAAAGGTGCCCAGGGTCTGGCCTTGCCAGCCACGCTGCCCATCCATTTTTAAGCTAGCCACTTCCTTCTTGGATTTGACACAGTTCTTGCGTCCGGCTTTGGCCCATTTGGGTGTAGATTTCGAACAGTGGTTCTCGGACTTGGCCTCTCCGTCCGATTTACTCCTCTGTTTCAGGGGTTGGTCTTTCTCATGGGTCAGCTTCAAGAAGGCCACGGCATTCAGGCTGGCCAGTCTCTTTGGGGTGGGATGGTAGGAGATGGAACCATCCTCCCTCTTTGCCCCATCATCAAAGACCTCATCCAGCGAATGCTCACAGCTATTGCATTTCTGACTGGGCTCATGCCGGTTCTTTCCTTTCCCTGTTTTCACAGCCGGTTTTTCCAGGGCAGGCCAATTGTCACCAGCTTTGCACTGCAAGCCCTTGAGGGTGCAGTCCCCAGCAGCCTTCCCAGAGTCCCTGCGGAAGCGCCTGCCGGATAACAAGCCATCGTCCCGTTCGAACAGCAGGTTGTTCACCGCCTCAGCGTTCAGCGAGGCCAGCCGGCGCTTCCTGGGCTCCGAGGGAGCAGGATCAAAGTCCTGCTCCGGCCCGGGATAAGTCACTGTGCACTTCTCCCCGGATGACTCACTCTTGCTCGCTCCCACAGGCTGAACTTGTTCTGAGAACAAAGCAGATCCCAAACCTTCAACCCAGCTGGGAAGGTGCTTTTTTTTACAGCTCGGGGTCTGTTTGGACAAAGAGCCAGCTACATCCTCCAGCCTGGTGAGGAGGACCTTGCAGGTCTTTTTGCTCACCGAGGGGAGCAGCCGCCTCCGCAGCGGGTACGTCTTCCGCACTTCACGCAAACTCTTGCTTTTGTTATTCCCTACAAACCCACTGGGACACTTTGGAGCCTCCGAGGCATCTCCGTCCCGCTGCTCTGCATTGGCCCTGTCCATCCTCCTGCTGCCTGTTGGCGATGAGGCCTGGCCAGCAGAACCAGCTGGATGTTTCAGAAGGAAAAGTTGTTTTTTCCGGGCATGCGTCATAGGATCAATGTCCAATCCTGGGAACGAACGGGAGAAAATATCTATTAATATCGCTGAGAGGGTCCCATCTCCTCACAAAGCACCAACTGCCAATTAGGAAATATTTGGGGAAGCTTGTTTCTATACAGCAGAGTCTATTTGGGTGATGGCCAATTAAGCCAATTAAGAGACAGGATGCAATTAGATGTGGTTTAATATTAAGCCATGGAACACGACAGTAATTAAAAGCAAGGTGGTGATAGCAAATGCCACAGCAGCTGGGGAAAGCTGGGTTCGGACAGAGAGCTGTCCACCCAGCTCCTTCTTCCACTGATGCTGCTCCTAACAACTTACAAATTCCCATCAAATCTCCAAAATCTGAGGGCTGGTCCAGGGCACAGAACAGAAATAACCCCCAGCCTGTAACTACCTGCATGTTGATACAGGCAGGCTGTTCCAGTTTCATTTTCTGAGACAATTAGGCAAAAGAAAAACAAAAAGTCCACCTACTCAGGTGAAAAGAAAACTTGGGCTATTAAGCAGAGACCTGCCAACATTAATAAATTAAATACATGCAAATCCGTGTGCAGGTTGGAACCTGGCTGCCCACTGCTCTTGTCATTTTCTGTAGCTGTGTTTTATAAAAGTTGTGGGCATTGAACACCAAATCACAATTGGCAGAGGTCCCACTGATAGGGCCTGTTTCCTGTTTCATGGCAGGAAACAGAAGCCTGGTGTTCCCAAGTTATCCAGCACCCAATTTTTAATTAAGAAATTCTGCAGTCTACAGCTTGTATGTCCAAGGCTGAGACAGGATATGGTTGGGTGATACCAACCTACAGACATTAAAAATGTCAGTGTAAATGAGTGATAGTGGAATAGATTTAATGAAGTCTGTCTCTGAGCATCAGAAACAGCAGCAAAGGACAATTACTTCCATTCAATGTTATTTACAAAATAGTCAAATTCCATTTATTGGCAGTAAAGTGCTGATCTTTTTATCAGCATCCACCTAGGAGGGGTTTGCTCTTCCCTGCAATCAGGATTTGGGCTGTAACTCCCCTCAATTGACACTGGTCTGCCACTTTTGAGGCTTTTAATTAAAGCTCCTACTGCTTTGGCAGTGATTAGAACAAAGCTCCCGAATTACAAGAACTGTTCATTTGATATGGTTTAATCAAGCTGATAATTAGATTATCTATTTGAAATAAGCCCAATGTGTTTTAATTGCCTTACTTATATATGCATTTACTAAGGGAAATTCAGGAATTGAAACCCGCTGGGGTTTGCATGGTGCTTTTCTAGATGTCATCCTCCTGGCAATGTGTTTTTGGGGTGACTGAGTTCCTCCACCCTGTTAAACAGGGTATATCCCATGGCTGGTACCCCAGGAGGAGAGCTTGGTGAGGAACAAACATATATGTCCACATTTTTCTTATTAGAAAATCAGGCTCTGGGAATTAGGAGGATCAAGTCAGACAGAATTCCCTCCAGAATTGAATTCTTCTTGCACAAAAGGCTAAACTGACCATATAGAACCTATGGAGTTTGGAAGAGGACTAAAATTTAAAAAAAAAATGGATCAGGCAGAGCAGGATTTAGCAGAGGCAGAACAGGTATCCTGCAGAACATGCCCTGAGAAGGACAACTCTTCCCAGGCTATGTGGACCAGTGATTTCCTTGCAACTTTCATCCTATTTTTTACTGTCCTTACTGAGAGACTGAGCCTCTGGCAGAGGTGAAAACCCCCAAATAAAAAGTCATGGTTTGCCTTAAACCCAGCATCAGGCACCTTGTTCTTCTCGGGTTTCCAGAGGCAGGAGCCTGACCTGGTCTAGCACCACACATCCAGGGGGATTTGTGCTCACATTGAGTTGGAATAACTGCTAAAAACTGGGTGCTGTAGCTGTGACTGTTCATGCCACAGGTGCTCTAAAGTTAGGAAAAGGCTGGGAGAGACTGAGGGAAGGGGGTGTAAGAGAACTGGGATTGTTCAGCCTGGAGAAGCTTTGAGGTGACTTAATTGTCTGTTCCAGTAACTGAAGGGACCTACAGCAAAGTTGGAGAGGGGCTTTGAACAAGGGCTTGGAGTGACAGGACAAGGGGGAATGGCTCCACCCTGCCAGAGGGCTGGGTTAGATGGCATATTAGGAATAAACTCCCTGTGAGGGTGGTGAGACCCTGGCATAGGTTGCCCAAAGCTGTGGCTGCCTCATCCCTGGCAGGGTCCAAGGCCAGGCTGGGTGGGGCTTGGAGCAACCTTGGATAGTGGAAGGTGTCCCTGCTTATGGCAGGGGGTGGAACTATTTGAGCTTTAAGATCCCTTCCAACCCAAACCATTCCAGGATTCCATGATTCGTTGCCAGCACCTATGGAACAAAACCTATCCTCAGTATAGACTACTCGGAGGTTTTTCCACACCTCCTCAATCACCTGCACTGCATGGATTGCTTTGTGAGGAGGATGCTCCTGCTCCCAGCTCACCTGGGATCCAGCAATCCCTCCTCTTCCCTCAGCACAACACAGAGACAGAGCTTTTGAACACAGCTCCAAACTCAGTCCTCTGACAGGCAATTGCATCATTTCTCAAAATCAGAGTCCTGCCGAGCTTCCTTCCAGCAGGTATTGCACTCCTGCCAGCTGGGAAGGGAGAGTGGCAGAGCTCTTCATCCTCTCTCCACCTTTGTATTGCTTCACAAAGCACAGAAAAGCTGCCTGTGCCCAGAAGTCTCCAAGAAAGCGTGAGACAATGTGAAGAACTGAAAGTGACGATACTTAAATCAGAACCACCCATTTATTGCTCGTGGCTGAGGAACTGGATTAATGGTGAGACGACATTGAGGTGTTGGAAATGAAAGTTTCAAGCAGCTCAGTCTATCCAGCTGCATCCAAAGTCCACCAAGCACTGTAAAGCTATTTGGAAGTGCTGCCTCCTTATCATATGATCAGAGAATGGTTTGGATTGGAAGGGACCTTACAGTTCATCCCATTCCAACTCCCTGCTGTGGGCAGGACACCTTCCACTGGCCCAAGTTGCTCCAAACCCCATCCAACCTGGCCTTGAACACTTCCAGGGATTGGGCAGCCACAGCTTCTCTGGGCAATGTTCCTCTGGCAACTCCTTCCTCAAACCAGACTAGTTCTGAAAAACCATCTTCCAGCTGCTGAAACCAAACCAGATCAGGATAAAGAAAAATTAAAACCACTTCTAGTTTCGTGCTAGAATAAAACCATTACCCAAACAGCAAACTCAGGAGAGAGTTGATGCCTCATTAGCAGGAAAAGAAGCAAGTGGGATAACAGCTGCATGTTCTGTAATCATGCAGCTGCAGCATCTGTCTCTCTCTCTCCAGCACTTGATTGCAAGTGAAATTAGAAGAAACTAGTCTGGGACTACCCCTTCAAGCCCCATTTCCTCTCCAGAGCTTCACTACGGAGATGCGTGCGTTCCAAGAGACGATGCCAAAAGCACAGAAATTAAAGCTTTTAAAGCTCCTAATCCATTTGGCACTTCAATAACACACAAAGAGTTACGACAACACCAATCCTCCTCTCCATGCATGGCACCGCACCGATGACTCTCAGCCCCATCTACTTGAATCCTGTCTATCCATTTCCATTGGAACAGCTTCTGCTGTCACAACAGCCCTACAACTGTGAGTATCTGGAGGATTGGCTCCTTTCTCCCTGCTGCTTTTGCAGGAAAGTAATTCCCAGTTCTCTAAGGAACGTGCTGCACAGAAGAAGCCTTGCAGGAGCTTTGGGAAATCTGGATAAATCGCAGCAGCATCAGGTATCCCAGGCTGAGTTCCTTGAATGCCATGCAAATCCTGTGAGTGGAAACATTGCCTCTGTCTCAAACATTCAGAAAATCTGTAGCTGTTGGAAGCTACAATTTGTCTTCCCAGGGTCCAGTCCTGATTTTTCTCCCGAGATCCATTGAAAGCTCCATCATGCACATGCTCTGGAGGAAACTGTTTATACAGAGCTCATTAGGCTGCAACAAGGGCTGGCTTCTCTCATCAGCATAGCTCTGACCACTGTACCAGAGCAGGGTTAAATGGGATACTGGGAAGAAATTCTTCCCTGTGAGGGTGCTCAGGCACTGGCACAGGTTGACCGGAGAAGCTGTGGCTGCCCTTGGATCCCTCGAAGTGTCCAAGGCCAGGCTGGATGAGGCCTGGAGCAACCTGGAATAGTGGAAGGTGTCCCTAGCCATGGCATGGGGCTGGATCTTTAAGATCCCTTCCAATTCACACCATTCCAGGATTCCACGATTCACTGCCAGCAGCTTCTGAAAAGCCATGTAGACACGCAGCCTCCACAGCTTCCAAAAGGCTTTTAAAAAGGGCTGTGGGTCAACTCTGGCACAGCCAAGAGGATCTCTGGGAGCTGTCCTAGACTGGGCTCTGCTTCACTCCCTGCTCCAATGCCCATAATTATCCCCCTGTTGCGAAAGGCTGTGTGTGCTCCAGCCAGCCGGCTGGGAGTTCTGCAGCCCGTGTGTGGCCGTGATAAATCACAGACAACTGCAATGAGAGCCAGGGGCTTCACCCCCCGAGTGCCGAACGCGTCCGAAAGCAGCGGCGCAGGGAGCGAATGCGGCTGGGCGCGGGCCTGACCCGCGCTACCCGGAGTCAGAGCTGGGAACACCCCCGAGGAGCTCCCCGGCTGATTCCTTGGGAAGGTCTGGCTCAGCCTTGGTTATCTGGTCTCAGATCTTGCCTAGTGGCAGTGCTCTGTCTGGGGAAGCCAAAATTGCATTTCTCTGGCTGTTCTCACACTCTCCGTAGCCTTAGCAAGCAGCATACTCAGGGAAGAGGAAAGGGGGAAAAGAATAGAGGGGGAAAGAAGATGGGGATAAAAAGAAGGGGAAAAGAAATGAGGGGTGAAAAAGTGGGGGAGGGGGAAATGGAAAAAGTGGGGGGAAATAGGGTGGGAAAAGAGGGAAGGAAATAAGGGGACAAGCAGGAACACACCAGTGGAACTGAACAATGTACAAGCATGGGGGATAGTCACAGGATATTTCCTCAAAATT